GAGGAACTGGCTTACTGACATTTTCCGCTGACACAGTTTGGGTGTTATTGTCACTGCACAAACAGGAGAAATATGAAAAGCTGGATGACCAAGTGAGCTTCCAAAAAAGTAGAGAGATTAAACTCATGATTGCAGAATTCAAGGTCATGTACTCAGGAGCTAATAATTTGTGCAGCAAGTCATGAGCTCATCAAATGCAAATAATTGAAGAAACAAAATTCCTAATCTAACAGTCACAGAAGGACAGTCCAGTACGGTACATACATAAAGTTATGGTCACCTAGATTCAATAAAAGTTATTTTACATGCAAAAGAAGTCTTTTAGGACCATTTGAGGAGGGGTATTTTTATTTTGTGAGAGGAGATTAGAAGAATTGTCTTATTCAGTCTAGTAAAATAAATTCTGATATGTCTGTTCCCCATGAAAAAATCAGAGAAGTAAACACCAGGGAAGGAAAAGAGCTATTTAAAGATAAAATTGGCAAAAGAATTAATAGTTATAAAACTTCTATGAATAAATTCAGACTGGTAATACGAAGACCATTCCAAGTCACGTAAAGGATGAAACTCTGTAACTTTGTTTTTCCACAAGAGCTGTGGCTGTAAAAAACCAAACTACTTTTAAGATGGAATGTGATAAATCAAAAAATGGGATTATGTATAATGGTGGTGTAAGGGTTTTATCCAGGAGGTCTGGGCAAGTCCTATGTATGTCTTATGGTCCTAGAAGGAGGGTTAATGCCTGACTACTGCTCATCTGTCAGGTGGCATAACTTAATCCACTGGAGAGCCCAGAGGTGAAAAAACAGCCATTACATAGAATTGCAAGAGATTGCTACCCCCTGGCAGATCTCAGTGAACTGTATGCCACTCATCTACATTGTCCTGGGTTTGTTATCAGAATTAAATTCAGTTGTAAGACTCATGTCTTTTTCCAGTAATTTTCATAATCTTAGCCACAGTAATTACTGGCAATTGACTGTCGATTCTGTAGTGTGCTTCTGTCAGATTAGAGAAAGATTATATATGACAAGAAAAAATGTGATGCATCTTCTACGTTTTCTCATACGTGCAAGCTGGGACAAACCGTGTCTTGAACATTCACATACATGTTAGAAAATGTGAAAGGAGAAAAAAGCTTGAAAAGCCATTGTTTCAGAAGGCAGGAAAGTCAGCAAGGGAAGCTGTGCTTGTCTCCATCAGTCTGCCTAGAAAGGCTGTTAAATTTTTATGATTCTTTTTGTAAACAATTCTGCTCCATGTCTCCTAGTTACACACTGGAGATGCATCATCTGAGCAGTTAGACAAGAGGGTGATTAGGATGTTGGTGACACTAGATGCCTTGTCTACATTAGTTCTCCAGCTACTAATGGAACTGAGAGGTAGAAATTTCAGTGGCTGAAAAGTTAGCAAATGCATCTGTTGTGGGTTAACACTCACAGGCATCTAAGCTTCACACAGCTTGCTCAGCCCCTGCAGCTGCTTGTTCAGTCTGCCACAACAAGACAGGGAGAGAATTGGAAGGGCAAAAGTGAGAAAACTTGTCCATCAGGATGAAGATAGTTTAATAAATGATGAAAAACAAACAAGTAAACAAACAAACAAGTGACGCAAAAGCAATCACTCACCACCAGCTGGTCAATGCCCAGCTCATCCCTGAGCAATAGCCACCTTGGAAAACTACCACCTATTCCTCCCCCACCCCCAGCTTTTACTGCTGAACATGACATTATATGCTATAGTATATTCTTCTGGTCAATTCGGGTCCAGTGTCTCAGCCCTGTCCCCTCCCAGCCTCTTGTCCACTCCTAGCTGACTCACTGGGGCAGCAGAGTGAGAAACAAGAGAAGACCTTCATGCTATGTAAGCACTGTTTAGAATAGCAAAAACATTGGTGTATTTTCACCACTGTTTGGTCACAAATCCAAAACATAGCACTATACAGGCTGCTATGAAGAAAATGAACTCATTCCAGACAGATGCAGTACAATATCACATTGCTAAAAGAAAAGACAAAACTTTCCAGTCCTAATGAGTAAGTAGTTCCTTTTTCATTCCAATGGGATTTGCTCTCCTTCACTGAAGGATTAATTGGATGAGGAATTAATTTGCAAAACTCTGATTCTCTATTTTATTTTAAGACATTTCTGCTTCAGTGATTATTTCGGTGCAATGAGGTGGTAAGTGGATGTTTATGCCAGTTAGCATGTGATGTAATACCTTCATTTGTCTACATCATAATACTAAACCTGGTGAGGCTTCATCGTGGGTAGGCTAAACTTTTATTACTTTTATGTGTTTAAAAATCTGGAAATAAGGTGGTTCACACATTTAAACCATCAAGTTGCTTCTATTACTCTCTTGCACCAGCCCCAATGACCCTTGTGGGACAGTAATGTACTGCCAAAACAATGCCTGTTGTAGTCTTCCAGAAATTTTTGCTTCTGCTATTTTAACTAAACCAGCATTTCACAGTGAATAGGAAAGACGAGGTTACCTTCCTAAAAGGACAGCTGAATTTTGAAATACCACCTCAGTTTCTATTTCTGGCAGAACTAAAACTGGGAGGAAGCTGAGTGGAAGCTTCTGTATTTTTCTCTGTTGCAACCTGTAGAGATTAATATAACAGAGTTCTTACCATATACAGCTTATCTGCCACCTGTGAGAAAGATTTGGGTGGTCCAGCTATCCTTTGAAGACAATGTTGTGTCCAAGGGGCATTGGAGTTTATATAAAATGCTGTGTGTTTTGGTGGCTGCTAGCATTTGTCATAAGACTGCATGCTCTGCCAACAGCAATTTTCCAAGGAAAAAATGTGGTGCTTTCAATTCCCTATATTTCTTCTCTGACTTTCTGTGGAAGCACCATCTGGCCTCTGGTAAGGATTTCCACATATTGCAAAAGGTGAGCAACCCTAAAACAACTTTTGCCTTAGAAGGAGTTTAACTAAGTGTTAGTGCCTTAAGGATAAGTTCACTATTATGACACTTGAGAGGTACTGTAGAGAGATTCTCTCCAGTGTCATCCAAACCCCATGAAACACCAGATTATTTTTTGAAATTTGATTGTAAATAGAAGACTGATATAATATAAAATTATGCATCTCATGTATGTCTTGTCTTGGTTTGCCAATATATAGTCTACTTTGAGTACCTGTTGACACAAGATGCTGTTCTCTCCCCATTTCCAACTGCTGAATTGCATTTGAGTTTCTTATTGTTTTCCTTGTGAATGCTGTACTCTGTCACTTGTTAGAGGGGCATATCACAGGAATATCACTGATTAGAGGGGAATATTGCAGATAATACCAAGCTGAGTGGTACAGTTGATACACTTGAGGGAAAGGATGCCATTAAGGGGAACCTCGACAGGCTTGAAGAATGGGCCTATGTGGACCTCATGAAAGTCAACAAGGTCAAGTGCAAGATCCTACACCTGGGTTGGGGCAATTTCCGATATCAATACAGATGGCGGGATGAGTGGATTGGGAGCAGCCTTACAGGGAAGGACCTGGGAATACTGGTGGATGAGAAAATGGGTATGAGCCAGCGATGTGCACTTGCAATCCAGAAAGCCAATTGTATCCTGGGTTGCATCAAAAGAAGTGTGGCCTACAGGTTGAATGAATTGATTCCTCTCGTATACTCCATGCTTGTACTCAATGCAGTACTCCATACCTGGAGTACTGCATTCAGTTCTGGGGTCCTCAGTACAAGAAAGACATAGACCCGTTAAAGTGGGTCCAGAGAAGGCCATGAAAATTATCAGAGGGCTGGAGCATCTCTCCCATGAAGAAAGGCTGAGAGAGCTGGGGTTGTTCATCCTGCAGAAGAGAAGGCTACAGTCAGACCTTATTGCAGCCTTTCAATATATAATGGGGGCTTATGAGAAATATGGAGAAAGATTTATTTTTACCAGGGCCCGTAGTGACAGGACAAGGGACAATGTTTTTAAACTGAAAGAGGGTAGATTGGATATAAGGAAGAAATTTTTTATGGTGAGGGTGGTGAGACACTGCAACAGGTTTCCTGGAGAAGTTGTGGATGCCCCATCCCTGGAAGTGTTCAAAGTCAGGCTGGAGAGTGCTTTGGACTTGATGATCTTTGAAGGTCACTTCCAACTGAAAACTTTTTGTGATCCCGTGATTTTATGATTGTCCATGTAATACAACAGCATAGCTGTCCATAGAATGTTCTCATTTTGTTATGTATATATTTAAGCATCCCTTTGCTAACACACCAGCTATTTGATACATTCAAATTCCTTACTTCCTTCCCCTTTGACTATGTCACAGTATAATTTGCATTTTTTCAGTATAATACAATTCAAATTTTAGTAATGTGTCTAAACCTGTTTTTGCTGAAGATTATGTCATGCTATAAATTGAAGAAACAAAGTACAATGTGACTAAATGTAGCCTAGAATATTATAAGGGCCTTAAAATTAAGCTGACAAGGATGATAAATTGAAATAAAGAATATAATGAAACAAATGCACATGTTCATTATCTTTTATAATCAAAAGAATGCAATCCTGGATACCAAAGACAGAATTCTTGATGTAGTAAGTTTAGTAGGAGCAATTGTTCCCAATGAACAGGTTGTATAAAAAGTATTAAGATGATTTTCAGTTAGCAGGCAAGTTCTCTAAAGTGGCCAAACCAAAAGCCAACTTTTCTGGTTTCAGCTGGGGTCAATAGGTATCTCATCCCTGGTAGAATCAAGACCTTTGCAAGTCTTTGCTGCCTCCTTTCAAACCTTTGCTTTGCCAAAGCCATTGCTGATTAAGGGAAGTCCATACGAGTTCAACACAGCACAGTTGCCGCCCCCCCCCCCAATGTTAGTGATCACTGCAGAAAATTTTTATTAATCTCTTACTCAAGAGTTAAGGAGTTTTTTCTTTCCTAAACTCAGTATGCCTTTTATTTTTACTTTCTCCCTTCATGTGGATTTTTTGGTTTTTTTTTTTATGCACTGATTTTAATTATCTTTCCCTCGCAGGCTGCTTAAAAAATCTCAAAGTGCTCAATGTGAGTTTCAACAATTTGAAGTCTGTCCCTCCAGAACTGGGTGATTGTGAGAATCTGGAAAAACTGGATTTGTCTGGAAATATGGAAATAACAGAGCTCCCATTTGAAGTAAGATAACAAACTATTTTTCTTCCATCTTTTTAATTTGGCTTGTAAGGTATTTTATAGCAGTCTTAAACTCTTTTCTTAACAGACTAAGTCATATTTCTTGCAGTTTTTAGCAATAATGTTTTAGTAGTAATATCACTGAAAATGCTTTAGCAGCAGTTAAATGGGACCAAGCTTCTTTGTTTTGGTTTTCAAGTGACTAAATTTTGCTTGTATTTATTCTGATATATGAAGGAGGACATGATCCCAAAGGGGATTTGGCCAGTGGTGATAAGGAGAAAGCTGCAAATAGCTATTTTCTGTAAAAGTGAAGTGCATCTTGACGGTGAAATTCACATACTAACATTCATTTGTTCCCAGTGTCTGTTTTCCTTTAAAAAGAGTATGGAGAGTTCTATAAACAACACTGCATGTCGCTATGAGTATAGATGTCTGTCTGAAAGGGATATTACGTGTGAGGCATAGTATGAATATATAATAAAGACTGAAAAAAGGACTCCCAGGCATGTTGGATGCATAACTGCTCTCTGCCACAGCTGCTCAGAGACTTACTGTTCATGGAGAAATGAAACCATTGGCTGGTACCTAACCGCCATTTCAGAAGTCATCTCTATTTCTCACATTCTTAATATCCTGATTCCTGGAGGATGAGTTGGGGGGGAGCTTTAGGAAGAAGTGTCATGCTCTTCTTTACTGATTCCTACTTTTTCTTTAAATACCTGTTACTGGTGATTTACAGGCGATGTTGGAGTGGATTAAAATTCTGTGAGATCTGGTTTGGCCATGCTTATGTTCTGTTCTGAGGAAATGCAAACAGTAATTAACTTTCCCCTCTGACTTTTCACTGTAAGGTAGTTTAGCTGAAAATAATTGTTAAAAAATGGTGTGAAGGAAACAGAAGCAAAGGATGAACATTAGCTCCACCATCGTAAGTGGACACTGCATAGAAATGCTAGCAACAGCACAAACAGTGCAGGTGTCCTTTCTCCTTCCTCTCCTGGTCCTTCAGATAGCAAAGATAGGGGACAAACCAGATAAAATTTAACAGCTAAAAAGGAACCATAATGGAATCATAAAAGCATATATCCTGAACAGGCGAAGGAATTAAATGTAAGCATCTAGGGAAAACAAGTATATTCAAACCTGTGGAATAGAACAGTGAATTTAGCCCCAATCACTGGTATGTCAAAATCCGAGTATTTTCTCAGTTGCTCCTAAAGGCCTTGTAGTGCAAAGGCTTACCTATGTCTATGCATTATGGGTAGCCTTTGCATGTAAACTTAACTGCGCATGTAAGTCTTCCCAGGGCTGAGTCCTAAGAGACAAGCGTTTTTCCTGGAAACTCAAAAATGTTGTTGCTTTCTGGCAGTCTCTTATTCAATGACATTGAAAACCACTAAAACTGAGTGTAGGCTACCAGGTGATGGTTCATTTACAATCCATGGAAAAAATTCGGAGCTGTGGAAATCACTTTATATAACAGCAAACACTGGAAGCAACATTATGTCAACATGGTCTAAAAGGTCAAGAAGAAAAATATAGAATCATAGAATCATAGAATCATTTAGGTTGG